CAGGCTCCTGTTTGAGTGTCTTGAGCACTGCAGAAGGTTTACAGATACACTTTATGTCTCTCTTTTTAAAGATCATTTTAATGAGGGCTCTTATCGTTCTTATAATAACCCATATATCTATTGTAGATACTGTTTCATAGAGCTTCATTCTCGAAGTGTGATCCTCAGATTAGCAGCCCACTATCACCTGGGAGTTTGTTAGTAATGCAGAATATCTGTCCCCAACTAGATTTGCTGCATCAGAATCTATAGGCAACTCATACGTACATTAAATTCTGGGGAAAACTGATCTTAGCATCACTGTACCTTTGAGGGGAGAGGCATCTCATCTACCAAACAGACCTCCCAGGTCGGTCTCTTGAGCATCATGGATGGAATAACAAGGTAGCGATATGGTCAGCAGGAATCAGAAACTTACCAGGCTTAGTGTGTGGAATCAAAGGGGCTCTACAGTTATTGAAGCAGACACACATTGGATGGTAGTCTCTCCCCCTTACATCCAGTATCTGGAGACCTCAGGCATTGCTCCCTCAGCTAGTAGGAGGCTCACGGCCAAAGCTCTCAATGGATGTTCCAGGGAGTGAGTTACTCCCTTTTGAGGCCCCTTCAGTACGTTGTACTCCTGCACTGAAGGGTGCTCCACTCTGATCTATTGATGACTTTCCCCACCTACCCTATTCACATTGCGTAATTCTTCAAAATAAAAGAAATACATTCCACCTGGTTTTGAATATACCTCACCAACTCTGGTGCCAGCACTTATATGAGGTGGGAAGGAAGGGGCGGAAGAAGGGGGTGGGGAAAAAGGAGAAAGGAATGGAGAAAGGAGTTGGGATGGAGTTTTAAGGAATTAAAGAAAGACATAATTTGGAAGTTGAAAAGTGTGGAGCAAAAAAATGAAAGTAGGTCAGAGTTCAGATGAAGAGGAAGAGAAATCATATGGAGATGGGACAAAACAGTTGAATACAAATAAAAAATTAAGGTCACAAATAGCAAGCGGTTGGTCCAACATGTGCATCCATGACCTTTCTGCTGTACATGCTGCTTTTAATGCCTACAAGTATAGAACTCGAAAAACTCCCAGTGTCCGTATAGGAAAGCCAACACCCTCTTTCACAGGGGATTGAACTGAGTCACAGGGAAGTGGAATGATTTGCCATGATTAGAGAGCTGGCGGGTGACAGAGCCAGGGTGAGAAGGAGGTCTGTAGGAAGAAAGGTGTGCCGAATGCCAATCAGACCTGAACTGAACAATTATCCCACCCGCCCTTCCTCCTGAAGAAACTATTGTCCCTTTTACAGTCAAGAAAGTCATGCCAGGAGATTGCAGCAACAGTTCAGTGCCCTGGGTGACTCCCTCCCCATCTCATTGCTGGAAGGAGCACGGACACCTGTGGTACAGCATCTTCTGGCCTCGTGGCTCTTCTTAGCCATGGCCCTAGAGGTAGGCCATGCCCTTACCATGGTGACTACAGAACTGAAGACCTCTGCTCACTGACGGTACCCAGACCCCTCCAACCATTACAAGGGAAGGGACACATTTTATAAAGATAACACTTTCATTGGTGGTTTATAGAAAGTATTAAGACATCGGGAGGCAGAACGGTGCAACTCAAACCCACGGTGTGGGTAGAATCATCAGGGCTGCAGGAAGGCCATCTCGACCTTCAGCCTCGCTAGATGCATGTCTTCCCTGGGCTTCAAGCTTCTCCACCTCAGAGGAGAATCATTCGTCTTTCTCGGTCACCTGTTCCAGTAGCTGGTTATAGTAACTAGAAACAGTCATGGGAGAAATGGTGAAGAAACTCTCACTTCCTAGAGGCTTTCTACTCCTTCCTGAAGAAATTTGTCAGCTGCCTTCTACCCCCACGTTGTCAAGTTCTGAGACAACAACTTCCGCTAGGACCCAGATATCATTGTTAGGTAAAGAGAGTTGGGAAAGAAACCTTTCAGGCTCCAACTTGAAGCTCTGCCACAAGATATAACCTTGGGCAAGTCTTTTAACCTCTCATGTTACTTAACTTCTTCTTTCCTCATGTCAAAAATTAGTAGATTAGCGTGGATGACCTCTCCTGACCTTCAATGTCCAAATTTTAATCCTCTATTTTGCCAGTGGGTTAATTGATAAGACTTATTTCTTCCTATGGGGTATTTTAATTCTCATCCAGGATGCAATGGCAGAAAGGGCCTCTCTGAAATGCGTGTGAAGAAACTCACACAGCCGACTTGGAGGGGAATTTGGGGGCTGGGCATCATGCAGGCTGCCTCTCTCATCAACTCCTCCACATCCCTGCTCATCAGCACAGCCAGCATTTCCTTTCTGTTCTATTTTTCTAAAAACGAGGAGGCCAAGAACCCCATCTGAACAATTTGGGATAACTGGTAGTTGATGTGATCTTCCTTTGATGTTTTGGCTGTTTAAGCATGAGTACGCTCGCATACCATAACATTATATTATTAGCAGCAGGTATTAAATATATTATTTCATGTTAGAAGTTTTAGTCTTTAGCATTAGGACAGATTAGTACTTGATATATTAGATCTTTAGGGTGACAATTAAGACTTGCATCCGTGATTGTTATTATTCACTGCATATTAAGGACAAGAGTGTGATTTGGCTCTTAATTCCACAACAAGTCCACCCACGTTGACAACTCAATACTAATTGCTGACAATTTTTATTGGCTGCCGCATCTGAGAATAGATGGTTCACATATTCTATTTATTATAGATCTTAAAGCTACAATTTCAACTGTGGGTAAACTTTCCTTATCATGGCATGTCTCAGCTGGCTTTCTAAGCAGGTCTGTGCTGAGCATGAGTGCTTTTGATGCTTTAGAAGCCTCGCAAGGAATCCTCCAACTCTGCCCTCCTTTACCTACCTTCTAGAACGGTGGTTCTCAACTTGTGGGTCACAACCCCTTTGGGGTCGAAGGACCCTTTCACAGGGGTCACCTGATTCATAACAGTAGCAAAATTACAGTGATGATAGAGCAACAAAAATAGTTTTATGGTTGGGGGCTCACCACCACATGAGGAACTGTATGAAAGGGTCGCTGCATTAGGAAGGTTGAGAATCACTGTTCTAGAAGAAGCAAATACCTTGGTCTCCTGATTTTACCCAAGCTCTTTGCCACCCCACTTCTGTCCCATCACAGGGGAGTGAGGTATGTCTATCCCAGATAACAGATGAGTTGAACAAATATGTGTTCAGGTCCTTCTCAATACAGTACTTGCACCTGACTCAGAAGGGAATTCCTCAATATTTTCCAGTTTGGTTCTACTATTTAGTCGAAAGTGACACAATCAGCTTCATGATTTAAAACTTTCAGAAGGCAAAAAGTGGGAATCCTTGTAAATCCAGACGCATATATTCCTCAGACCGTAATACCCCACACAGTCATCTTCCTACAGGTTTCCTGTATGAAGAAGCGAAGAACGTGGGGCATCTACCAAAGGGTTGTCTCGGTGAACTTCCCTGATTCAGAGGCTGACAGCTGAGTTGCCCACCCTTCTGCAGGGCGGGACGATGGCCCCAGTCCTTGGGGAAAGAGTGTTCATGTTCCCGTGCAAAATCCAACCTCAATCATGTTCCTCCCCACTCTAAAGATAGCTCTTTGCTCCTTAAAACTCCACCCATCCACTTCTACAAGTGGACATGCACACTCGGAATGCTGACACTAGACTCTAGTACCTACTTACCACCACTCTACCTCATCACTGGGAGCTATCGAAGATGTCTCGCCCTTCCCAGCGACCTCTCCATCAAAAACACCTCCTCTGGAGACTCTCAACCCCTGTTGATGAAGATGACATCTGCTGGTACGCAAGGCAAGGGACTAAGTCAGAAACAGGCAGCCAATAACTGTTCGCCCTAGTTGGTGCCCGTCTTCTGCGCTTCTACAGTAGAAGCTATCATAGGAGTGGTGGAGAAATAAATGCCCCAGGATGTTCACCTACCAAGGATTTCAGGCCTCCTAGGTTGACAGATGGTGCAGTGAGAGAATATAATGGCCAATTCTCCTCTGTGCAACAATAAACTTAGAAGGCTCATGGGCAGTTAGGCGTGACCATCCTCTCATTTTCTCCCTGTTTCTTTTCATACCAGCTGAGGTGCCCCACAGGCGCAGAATGAGATCCTTAGTATGTATGTGGTGATTTTTAGCTGGATCAAATGGAAGTTGTCATGCCTACCTGTTATTCTGGGAACGCATGGGAAATAGATGTCGTTCTCCAAAAGCTATGTTCCAAGTGATTCGTATTGAACCTGGAGGAGGGCCCCATAGGGGGGAATGATTCATTGCTCTGGGTAGTATCTGTCAGATCTGCTTGTTGGTGGGGGCAAAGGTTAGAAGTAACCAATGTCGCATCTCTCTCAATCTCCTCAAAGGATGATCCCAGCCCACAGGATGCAGAGGACAGGGAATTCTTCTCAAGCCAGCAGCAGTGAAGGCAAAGAGGAGGCCTGGTAGCAGGCTTCGGCTTCAGTAGAGATGCGGTAGTTCCCCGTGTAAGACCTGTCACCCTGATCCCCTCATAGTGGGGCACGCTGGTTTGGGGACCCGTGTTCAACTACATACAACAACATGAAGGGAGCAGATAGAGAGACACCTCTCTGGACCAGTGTGGCTTTACTCCTCATGCAAACACATACTTCCCCCTCCACCCACCCACCCCTAAACACATCCACACACCAGTCAGCATAGGCATGCATTCAATTGTGTGTACATTAATCCGCCACCCTCCCACACAGCAATATCCTCCATCCTCGAGCAGTCACGTGTCAGGGGAATAGATAGCAATTAAAAAATAATAATCCAGTAACCCAGGGAACTATGGCTCATATTTTTCTCTCTTGCTCCCCACCACCACCCCACCCCCTGTCCCCCACTCTTCCCTTAAATAAATAAATAAGGCTTCTAAATATATATCTATTAAACCAGGTACAGTTTTTAACTCAGATTTCATGTGGCTGGAGCAGACTGACAAGGAAAACAATCACAAAATAAATATTTTGGTTTTATTTTAAAAAGAACATGTCCTTATACGTTTCACTCACTAACTGGACAGCGCTGCTTCCGTGGACAGATTGGGCGCTGCTGGAGGAGGAGCTCTGGACAAACCACGAGAGGAGCGCGGAGCAAGCCAGGGCCCTCAAACCAGGGTGCTGAGGAAATCCGGGGGGCTGCAGAGGGACGTGGGGCGGGGCGGCCTGGCTGCCTGTGGCCCGGGAGCTCCTCTGGGGGCTTCCGGAGGGGGGGAGGGCAGGCTTTGTTTGAGAAGCAGTCCACGTATGGAAGGTGCAGAAGGGGCAGCATACAAAAAGTAAGAACCGAGATGGGGAAATCACGAAACAGCAACATTTTAAGAAATCTGGTTAAAAAGAATACAAAAGTGACTCCACCGAGGGTGAGGAAGGTCTCCCACCCACCCCCATTGTTGCCCCCTCTTGTGTTCTTGAATGACAAGAATCACGTTTGAGAATGTATTTGTTTGCTTGCTTCTTTCCTTCCTTGTTTGGCAGGCTCTCGTCGTCCTTCACCTTGCCGGGGCTCCTCTTCTTCAGTCAAGGTCCTGGGAGAGAGCACCGCCCTCACAAATCCCAGGCTGTAGCCTGGTGGTGGGGGTGGGGTGGAGGGGGGCAGAGGGAGTGGGGGAGGGCTGGGGGCAGTGTGTGTGATTGTGTGCAGGTACGTAGTAGGTGAGTGTGGGTGTGTTGTGGGCGGGGCTTGTTCCTATCTCTCCTGCCTGCTTCCTTCAGCCCAAGCCTCAGGTCCCCCTCTGCTGGGTGCTGAGAATCTCCTGGGAGCACCCCGTTGGCACTAAGGTGAGGCTTGGGTGGCCCGAGATGCACGGATCTCCTCCTCCCTGCCCAGGGTGGGAGAGGCCCTCCCATTAGCTGCAGAGCTTGCCGGTCTCGTACTCCACGGGGTTTGGCAGCTTGGAATTGAAAGCCCTCAAGGAAGACTGGATCCTGCCCACCTCATTGTTGGCCAGCTTTAACCGATGCCGGAGCAGGCAGGAGAAAAGGTCCAGCCGGACTTTGCCGGGTGGAGAAAGCTGGTTCACCCGGTCCCTGAGCTCCACCAGCTGCAAGAGGGCGGAGTCCTGGGAACCTTGAGTATATGGGTAGTCCAGCTGGAGAATTAAGTCCCGGATAGCATCCGGGTCAAAGGGAAGGCTGTAACCAAAGACCTGCAAGGTATTGATTTTCATGTAGCCCAGATTCTTGGAGGGATCAGTCATCTCCAGAGGCTCGTAGTAGATTGTCTCGTTGGAGCTGTCGTCCAGGGACTTGATTCGGCTCCGTAGGTAAACATGGACCGTCTCAAAGAAGGTCTTCCACCTGTTGCCCAAGGTGATAGTCCAGTTTTGGCACTGGGCGGCTGCGTCCACGTTAGTCCTTTCCCAGTCTGGGAAGTTGCCCTCATTGACCGGCATGAACCAGCTCTCCGAGTGGCTGCCCCCAAAGGGGTTGACATAGATGGCCATGGCAGGCTCCAGGGTGCTGTTCTTGGTGAGGCAGATCTGCAGAGACAGGGCCAGCATCACATGCACCAGCCCAGGCTTGTACTTGTTGCTTTTCAGGGTGAGCAGCATGCGCTTCCGCCACGAAGGGTCAAACCAGCTGCCCAGGCGCATGTCGTTGCTGATGAAAATGGAGTGCACCTCGATGCGACTGTCCCGCTTCTGTAGCAGGTACTTCAGCTCCAGGTCCTGCAGGTCTGTTTCCAAACCCAGGAAGTTCTCCAGGGATTCGGCCACCTCAGGCCTGCACAGCCCCTGGGCCAGCACGTAGCCTGCGTTGCAGCTCCCGCAACGCGTGCTGTTATCCGGAGCGCAGTGAGCGCACGCGGGCCCTTCACCCAGGGCACATGGGATGGGGCCCTGGCAGGCAGATTGATCGTATGGGCAGGTACAGCTGTGGCTCTGTTCCAAGAAGGTGCCAGGCACGGTGCTTTCTCCACAATAGAGGAGGGACTGGATTCGATTCCACCAGTAGGGCAAGGGCCTAGGGGAGAGGAGAGAAAATGGAAGCATGAAGCCCAGGAAGCCGTGTGCTGCCATAGACCCTGAGCAGAGCAGGACATTGACCAATAGTCAGGCAAGGCAATGAGGAGAGGAGAAGCACCGAGCGCGTTAGCGCCTCTCGGGATGATGGAAACCCCACTGCTCGACTTTGATTGAGTCAAGCCGAGAGCTTGGTGTCTGATGGATTGGCACCATAAATATTTGACTTCAAACTTGCACGGAAGCAGGCGAGCTCATCAACTCCTTATTCAAAACCCTACAGAGGCTCTCCAACATCTATTGAATCAAATGTAGGTTTTCAGCCTTTGAAACAAGATCTTACAACCACTGGCTCTCCACTGTTGCCAGCGCAGGCCTACTTCATGCCCATTCCACAGCCTATTCTTCCAGCTCCGGTCACTTTCACACCCAGAGTAAGCCTTTTCTATGGCGGACTCTTTCAGGGGTCCTCAACCTTCCTCATGCCGCAAGCCTTTACAGTTCCTCATGTTGTGGTGACCCTCAACCATACAATTATTTTCATTGCTACTTCATAACTGTCATTTTGCTACTGTTATGAATCGGGCGAGCCCTGTCAAAGGGTTGCTTGACCCCAAAGCGGTCATGACCCACAGGTTGAGAACCGCTGGATAATAAATTTTCCACTAGGCCTTCCTGGCTCAGGTTTCAGAAGGACTCCCTGGGCCCCTCTCTATTATAGCACGCTGTTTTCATTTCATCCACAACAACCATCTGGATCTGAAATGACTGTTGTTCTTTGTTGAAGGGGACAAAGAACTCCAGGAGAGCCTCCATCAACATATGTACGTATTTATTGGAAAAACAAGTAAGAGGGGGCTTCAAAAAGTTCATAAAAAAAACCCATTACCTTTGAATCCCATTTTCCCAAGAACTTTTTGAAGCCCTCCACCACATCCCTCATGTAAATGAACCATTCTCCCAAATCTTTGCTGGCCTGTGTTTCCCTTCTGACTCCATGCCTAACTGAAGTCCCACCTCCAGGTTGGGGAAGGGACCCTGGCTGCGATGTTGGTTAGGCCTTGGCTTGCAACTGCTCCACAGGAGTCATCGCCTCTTGTCAAGTTTAGGGTCTCAGAAACCCTCTGTAAGGTTGCCATGAGTCGGAATTGACAAGGCAAGGGGTTTGGTTTTGGATCTGGATTGTGTGATAGGCAGTCCCCTTCCCTAGCATGCTGTGCTACCTACCCTGCCCATGCCATTTCCAGCTCTACCTTCACAATCAAGACTTTCTTCTCCCCTCTGCTGCTTGTCCCTGGCAGATCATGTTCCCAGATATGTGTGCTGTTTTGTTGTTGCTGTTTATTTTTTCCTGTTTGTTTTTTTAAAAATGCAGTGTTCATTCATTTGCTTTAGGGTGGCAAATTCATGACTAACAAAATACTGAGCTTCTGTTAAAAGGTGATGACATGTTTGGCAATGGGTGGGAGGCATGACCGAGCAAGCTGGTGAACATAATGAACGGCCCTGAACTATAGGTATGGAAAGTATTGAATTGGCATTGGGCCCTTTAAGTGGCTGCCCCTTATTTATCATTTTCTAGCTTCTGTGTTTCTGTATGGTTTCTAACTCTTCCCACTTAATTAATGACCCCTATAGCTTAATACTATCTAGAGGGTGGCATAGTGGTTATGCGTTGGGCTGCTAACCTCAGGGTCAGCAGTTTGAAACCACCAACTGATCCAAGGGGTTTTCGACTCTTGTAAAGAGTTACAGTCCGTGAAACTCACAGAGGCACGTCCACCCTGTCACATAGGGTCACTGTGTATTGGGATCAACTCAATGGCAGTGAATTTGAGTATAGCTTATTACGAGTGTACGCAATATGAAAGTAATAAAATAATATTTTCAAATAAATAGATGGTTGAGAAAGTTCCAGTGATAATAGAGCCCAATTTTTCCCCCAAGGGCACTGAGTCTCAACCTTCTTTGCACTTATGAGTCAGAGCAGTGAACCTGATGGAAACTTGTTTGAAACAATACAATGTCTTTCTCATCATATACAATTGATGTATGTACTGTAACGCCATCATTTTCTTTCCTCAAACACTTAATCAAAGGGAAATGAGTGAGTGGGAATTGAAGTATTTATAGAATAACATTGGGATCTACTAGTTAGTGAGTGTACATTATTGTTGCAACCCTACAAGACAGAATAGTACTGTCTCTGCAGGTTTCTGAGCTTGCAAATCTTTATGGGAATAGGAAATCTCATCTTTCTTTCACAGAGTGGCTGGTGGTTTCAAACTGCTGACCTTGCAATCACCAGTGCAGCACGTAACCTATTAAACCACGTGAACACCTGCTGTAATGCATGGGAAAACAAAAGCAGTCTCTCTGTCTCTCTTTCTCTCTCTTGTTATCTCACTATGACTCAGACACAACTCGCAATTGAGAATGACCTGAGCGTAGGTCAGAACAGCCTGAAAACCACCCAGGTCATGTGTGGGTCACTACCCCTGGCAGCCCCTCACTGAAGGGAGGTGGCCAGAGTGTCCTCCCAGCCTGAGCCTCTGTGGAGAGGGGCCGCCCCCGATATGACACCTGCGGATGCTCACCTCTCCTTGGGCAGGCGGAAGCGAGGCTGCCGATGGCAGCGCTTGCAGAGGTTGAAGAGCCGGCGGACAATCTGGTGGGCCTTCTTGAACAGCACGTTCAAGCTGGCTCCCAACTGCTGGTAGCGGTGCTGGAGGTTGGTGTCCATGGCCCAGAAATGAGAGATGGCGGTGGAGTTCAGGAACCGGTCTTCGGGCAGTCTTTTCAGCAGGGCCTGGAACTCCTCTGTGGGCATGAACACAGGGCTAAGTTGCGGTGAGGCGGGTGGAGGTCTGCACAGAGACTGAGGAAGAAGGGTCCTTCCAAACTCCCCCCTCAATTTCAACAGATTGATTGAGAGATAATTCACAGGCCATACCACACATCTGCCTCGAGGATTCTTTCCCAACCTTCTTGCCTTTAAGATACTTGTGAATTTTGAAAACAGATTTTTGTCACCATCTGAGGGGTTGGAGGATCTGCCATTATCTGTGACCTTGGGACACCTTCCCTCTCCTTATACATCATACATTGCACGCCTTCAGACTGGTCTCACATCGACCCCAGTCCCATTGATGGAGGCAGTGAAGCCCTCCTGAAAGGTAGATGTCCACACCACTATGGACAGAGGGAGCAGATCAGCCACCAATTCCGAAATGTGTCTTAGAAACTTCAGAGCCCTGACCCTAGCCTCTCCCTCCCAGGCACTTCTCTCTGACTCTAAGATACGATTCCTCTTTCCAGCTCCAACACTAAGCCAGACAACGAATCTCTTCTGTAATAAATTCAGAAACAAGTTGCTTCCCAGTGCTAGGCTCCTACTGTCAGTCTGTCACCACGTGTCTGTCCCTTTGTGGTCCTGCAGTGGCTGGGGTGTTGCTGTGAGGCTGGAAGCGATGTCACTGGTATTCAAATGCCAGCAGGGTCACCCAAAGTGAACAGGTTTCAGCGCAGCTTCCAGACTGAGAACAGCCAACCAAAAAGGCCTCAGCTGCCCACTGCAGAGGAAGACGCTGATGTACTAGGCAGGGAGTAAAGCAATCAAGAGAAAGAGTGTCGCTCTTATTCTCAAAAGTGACATTGTAAAATCCATCATGAAGTTCAACGCTATCTGTGATAGGATTATATTTATCTGCCTTCAAGGAAATCCAATCAGTTCAATTATTATTCAAATTTATGCACCAATCACAAAAGCTAGTGGTGAAAAAATTGGAGAATTACATCAATGACTTCAGTCAGAACTGATTAAACGTGCAATCAAGATGCATTAATAATGATTGGCAATTGGCAGGCAAAAGTTGGAAACAAAGAGGAAGGAACAGTACTTGCAAAATATGGACTTGATGATAGACGAAGCTGGAGGTCACATGATGGGATTCTGCAAAACCAAGGACTTGTTCATAGCAAACACCTTTTCAACAACAAAAAGGTGACTGTACACATGGACTTCCCCACATGGAATAAACAGAAAACAAGCTGACTACATCTGTGGGAAGACACAATGTATCAAGATCAGCTCATCAATTAGCTCGATATAAGCAGCTAAAATGAGACCAATGGTTGACTGTGGAACAGACCAACAATTGCTTATATGTACGTTCAGGATAAAGCTGAAGGAAACTAAAACAAGTCCATGAGAGCCAAAATACAAACTTAAGTCTACCCCACCTTAATTTAGAGAACATTTCCAGAACAGATTGGAGGCATTGAACACTAATGACAGAAGACCTGAGCTGTGGGAGGACATCAAGAACATCATTCATGAAGAAAGCAACGGTCATTAAAAAGACAGGAAAGAAAAAAAGAAGATCGAAGTGGCTGTAGAAGAGGCTCTGAAACGTGCTCTTAGACATAGGGTGGCTGAGGCAAATGGAAGAAAGGGTGAAGTCAAGGAGCTGAAGAGACACTTCCAAAGTGCAGCTCGAGAAGACAGTGGCAAATATTATAATGACATGTGCGAGGACCTAGAATTAGAAAACGAAAAGGGAAGAACACACTTAGCATGTTTTTTAAAGATCATTTTATTGGGGGCTCTTACAGTTCTTATAAAAATCCATACATCAATTGTATCAAGCATATTTGTACATATGTTGCCACCATCATTTTCAAACATTTTTTTCTTGCTTGAGCCCTTGGTGTCAGTTCCTCTTTCTTTCCTCCCTCTCCCCTCCCACACTCATGAGCCCTTCATAAATTATAAATTATTATTATTTTCATATCTTACACAGTCTGCTGTCTCCCTTCCCCACATTTCTGTTTTCATCCTCCTGGGTGGTGGGGATTATGTATCAATCAACTTAGCATGTCTTAAACTGAAAGAACTCAAGAAAAAAATCAAACCCTGTGTTGCAACCCTGAAAGATATTACGGGCAAGCGATTGAATGGTGCAGGAAGCATCCAGAAAAGATGGAAAGAATATACAGAGTCACTATACAAAAAAGAAGTAGTCAATTTTCTACCATCTCAGGAGGTAGCATGTGAGCAAGAACCAATGATGTTGAAAGATGATGTTCAAGCTACACTGAGCGCATTAGCTAAAAATGAGGCTCCAGGAGCTACAGAATAACAAATGAACTGTTTCAGGAAGCTGATACAGCACTGGAAACACTCACTCTTGGAAATTTGGAAGACAGTCACTTGACCAACTGACTGAAAGAGATCTATATTTATGCCTATTCCAAAGAAAGGTGATCCAACCTTTGTAGTTTGGAAGCTCAAACGACAGAACAGTTATCATTGGTGTAGCACATGAGTAAAATTTTGCTGAAGATCATCCAACAATTGCAGCAGTACATTGACAGGGAACTTTGAGAAGTTACGGCTCAATTCAGAAGAGGATTTGAAACAAGGGATATACATGGCTGATGTCAGATGGATCATGGCTCAAAGCAGAGAAAACCAGAACGTTGTCTAATTGTGTTTTATTGACTATGCAAAGGCATTTGACTGTGTGGCCCATAATCAACTATGTATAACCTTGGATAGAATGGGAATTCCAGAACATTTCATTGTGCTCATGACAAACATGTACATGGATCAAGAGGCAGTTGTGCAAACAAAACAAGGGAAAACTGCATGGCTTAAAATGGTTCAAAAAAACAAAACAGGTATCAGGTTTGTATCATCTCACCATACTTATTCAATCAGTATGCTGAGCAAATCATCATAGAAGCTGGTGGAAGGCTTATTAACAACCTATGATATGCAGATGGCACAAAGTCGCTTGCTGAAAGTGAGGAGGTCTGAAGCGTATGCTGATGAAGATCAAGGATTGCAGCCTTCAGTATAGATTACAACTCAATGTAAAGAAGATTAAAATCCTCATATCTAGGCCACTGGGTAACAACATGATAATGGAGAAAATTGAAGTCGTCAAGGATTTTGCTCATGGAAGCAGCAGTCAAGAGATCAAAAGACGTTGCCTTTGCTAAATCTGCTGTACAAGACCTTTCTAGATTATTGAAAGCAAGGATGTTATTTTGAGGAGTAAGCTATATCTGACCCGAGCCATGGTATTTTCAATCATCTCATATGTATGTGAAAGTTGAATATTGAATAAGGAAGCCCAAAGAAGAATTGACGTATTTGAAGTGTGGAGCTGGTGAAGACTATTGAAAGTACCATGGACAGCGAAAGGACAACCTGATCTGTCTTGGAAGCAGTAAGGCCAAAGTGCTCCTTGGAGGCAAGGATGGCAAAACTTCCTCTTACGCACCTGGGATACATTGTGAGGAAGGACTAGGTCCTGGAGAAGGACAGGATGCTTGGTAAAGTAGAGGATCTTGGAGCAGCAAAGTAGAGGAAGGCCCTCCGCACAATGGATTGACCGCATGGCTTCAATCATAGGCTCAGGCATGAGCGCTAGTGTACGGATGGCGCAGGACTGTGCAGTGTTTCATTTTGTTGTGCACAGGGTCGCTGTAGTTCATAGCCGACTTGATGGCAACTAACAACAACAACTGCCATCTGAGTTCTTCCCAGAGTCTCCTCAACAAAAGGTTTTCCTGAACTCCTGCTCTGGTCCCTGTAACTGGGCCTGCAGCTCCACGGTGTCTGCAGCTGTAGTGCCGACCATCCTCTTTCACTCGTTAGGAGAAAATGACCGTGGTGGACGTCTGAAATAATTGTCTATGTGCTGAAGTGCTATTAGGATCCCAGCTGGTGCGGTGAATTAAGTGACCTGCTTAAGTGCAAGGACAGTCATCAAATCCACCAGTTGCCCTGCAGGAGAAGGGTGCGTCGGTATGCTCTTAGAAAGATCTGCAGTTCAGAAACCCCAAGGAGCACTTTCACCCTGTCCTAGAAGATGCTCTGGTGGTGTGGTGGGTTCCACACTGGTGGCTAACCACAGGAGCAGTTGGAAATCCCCAGTCCCTCTGCAGAAGAAAGAGGTGGCTTTCTGCTCCCGTCAGAGTTACAGCCTCAGAAACCCACAGGGACAGTTCTGCCCTGACCACAGAGTCACGCCGAGTCAACACTGACTTGGTAGCAGTGAGTGATTTAGAGGGCTACTATAGTTGGAATCTACTCGGCTGTGGGTTTGGTTCTGGTTTGGTGTAAGGGTGGTTGGAAATTCCTCCATGGCACAAACAGGTAAGTGCTCCAGTTCCAGGGGAAAGATTTAAATCTAACCAGAGGCACCCCAAAAGGTCTGGCGATCTGGATGGACTCCCAAAGGATCATAGCCTGGAAAGTGCTAGGGAGCCCCACTCTACCGGCAGGACTTGGAAGTGACCCAACCGCCACGGCTTTAAGGGTTCTCAGACGCCTCTCACTGCCGTTAGCTCAAAGCAGCCGGGCTAGGGAAGCTGGAATTCCCTCGTTACTAAATGCTGCTGATCTAGGCCTTGAAATAGACACCTGGGGCCTCAGCTCATTCTGCGTTCTCACGTACATCCTTGTTCCCCAGAAGATGGGAGATTGGCACACAATGACAGCCTGTACAAGGTTGTTTTGAAGAAGCACTTGAGCTTTCTACAGCACATGAACTCCCATGTGCCCACCATCTGGCTCAGTGTTTCCCAAAGTGAGTCATATTCCTCCCCCAGGGGGTGGGGGGGGCGGAGGGTCTGGAACTAGCCTAACCCAAATCACCAAACTCACTGCCATGAGGCCGATGCTGGCTCAGAATGACCCTGGCAGACAGGTTGGAACTGCCTGTGTGGGTTTCTGAAACGAACTCTTTATGGGAGTAGAAAGCTCATCTCTCTCCTCTGGAACCAGTTAGGGGGCTGCAAAAGAAGAGACCTCCACTTTATCCTGGATTAGGGGGCTCTCGAATCCAGTTAAGAATGTACAGTCTCAGAAACTCCCAGGGAGCAGCTCTCTCCTGCTCTGCAGGGTCGCTGTGAGTTGACATCAACGTGATGACAGCGAGATGGGATACAGTACAAAAGTTCTGAGTTGAGTGAGCTTTAGATTTTTTTTTCTAGCAAGTGGGTGAAAGGACAAATAAATTTTATAATCTATGAAGCTTCTGCCATTTTGCCACACTGGTTTTAATCTGTTTTGGTTTTATTTTAAAGAAATAACGCAAACCAAATATACTCAAAGGCCCTAGATGGTCCTTCATCTCTACCCAGAGGTAACCGCTTACCTGGATATTTTATCACACATTCTGTTCATGATAAATACATTTATCTATACAAGATGCAGAGTATTGGTTAATATGCTTTTGAAACAAGTATCTACCTAACATGACACAGAACACAACCTTTTCCC